TTTTTTTTTGGTACTGGGAATTGAACTCACGACCTTGAGCTTGCCAGGCAGGTGCTATGCTGCTGAGCTTTATCTCTGGCTTGGGCCACACTTTGTCCAGTGATTCCCAAACCCAGATGTACATCCAAATCAAATGGAACTATTAAAAAAAAATGCACAAGTTCCTACACATCCATAAGAGTGAATCAGGGAATCAAAAGTTCTGGGATGGGATCCCAGTATCCATACTTTTACCAAGTTCTCCAAATGATTTACATACAACAGCCATTTGACAACCATGGCAAAAACTAACAAAGTTTTTTGTTTTTGTGGTTTGGGGATCAACCCTAGGGTGCTACCTCCCTTGCCCTTTTATTCCCAAGTAGACGTGATTACAAGGGTGTGCCACCACGGCTGGCTTCAAAGTTTTTCAACAAGAAATTATGATCAAATCTGAATTTTAGAGATATTCCTGGCCTTAGGGAATGTGACAGAAACTCCAGCCCAGACAATCCCACCTGCCCTGTGGATGGATCTGCTCTTTCTACCTAAAAGACCCTGACCAGAGCCGTGGTTGACCCTGAGGCTAATGCTGTCCTTCGGTGGTGAGGGTCATCCCGTCATTAGAGCAGAGTGAGGCCGCTGCGCCCCAGCAGTGCTCCCTACGCGCCTTCAACCAGAACCCAGAAACTGAGAAGTGTGGTTTTCCTCAGCAAGGGCCCAGTTCAGAGGAGGCGGGAGCAGGGTTGGGGGCAGCTGCCTGGAGAGCAGCTCTTCCCAAAGCTCGGGGTTTCGTTCACACGGGGCAGCACTTGCATGGCCAGTTTGCACATGGACTTGGGAACTCGTGGGTGGTGGACGGCCGCAGACCGGCAGAAAGAAGCCCCCGAGGCTGGGAAAACGAACGCAGTGCGCAGCACAGCAGCGGGTCACGCTCAGGCCAAGGCCAGACCCAAACTCTGGGCTGAGTCACTGCAGGTCAGGAGGTTACGGGAGGGCTGCGCGCTCTCCGCGAGCGTTCTCACTCACTTCTCGGGACTGTCAGCCCTCGCGGGTGCTCCTGCGGGTCTAGGGCGGCCGGTTCCCACTCATCCGTATTTCGTTCCAGCCAGGAGATGAGCGCTGGCTTGGGACCTGCGCATCCTGGGGAGGGAGAAGCAGTGAGAGGCCGGTCCCCCGACAGCCCTGGGGTCGGCTTCTTCCGCCGGGCCCTCGCCCTCCTCCCCAGACGTACCCGCTCCCAGGCCAGGACCTGGAGCCCGCCCCGCCCCGCCCCGCGGGTCCGTCCTTCCCCCACCCCGGCCGCAGAAGCGGGCTGCGCGGGGCCTCACCGAGCGCGCCCAGGAGGCCGTAGGTCTCGCGCATCACGTCCCGGTACAGGGTCCTCTGCGCGGGCCGCAGACAGCCCCACTCCTCCGGGGAGAAGTACACGGCCACGTCCGCGAACTTCAAGGCCCTGGGCCTCCTTCCCCTTCTCTGGCTGGGCCCGGCCTGGCCTGGACGCCGGGCGGGGAGTGGGGCCGAAGGCGGCGCCATTGGAACCCCCGCCGGCCGAAGGCAGAGTGGCTGGGAGCCCTGGAGGGGATCGGAGCCGGCCGCCTTCGGGACTAACAGAAACCTCGCCCTGTTATTCATAAAACTCTTGCCCGAACTTGGGTGAAAGGCACTGGAAGATGCCTTTGGGGAAAATGGCGGCGCTGCTACCGCACCGCCTTTGCCTGAAACACAGGCAGTTTCCAGCTATCGATTTTATTGACCGGAGCGCCATGCCGGCTTCCTAACCTCTTTGCCCTAAAGTGTAATGGCGCTGCGATTGGGCTTCACGCCCTCTTTTTTTCCCCCTCCCTATTCTTCTCGCTCATTGGGCGGTACCCAAACATCGAGCGTTCTGATTGGGTGTTAGTGAAGGCGGCCTATTTGAAAGAAGTAAACGGATGCGTAAGGGCAGGAAGCTGGACCATCACTGTCTGGTGACTACGGTGATTTCCAAAGTGGGCTGCAAAGAGCTGCGATAAGTCTCTGGTTGTTTTTTTACCGTTCTCCCAAGGAGAACTGTCTTAGCCTGTCTCTGAAGGAGGAAAGGATTCGAGCCGCAGCTACACGTGGCTAACCCAGCGCGGAGACTACCTTGGGATCTTGTTCTGTTGTAACTTCAGAAGAGCTTTTGCTCTGAACGGTTAATTTTGTTGTTGCCCCTGTCGTCTTCGTCCTGTCCTCAGTACTGAGGATTGGACCCTGGGCCTCGCACATGCTAGCCAAATGCTCCACCACTGAGCTTTTTGGGTTTTTTTAAATTTTAATTTTTTTTTTTTTTAATGTTTTTTTTTTTTGTCTTTTTGAGACAGGGTCTCGCTATGCAGTTCAGGCTGGCCTTGAGCTCACTTTGTAGCCCAGGCTGGTCTCGAACTTGCAACGATCCTCCTGCCTCAGCCTCCCCAGTGCTGAGATTACAGGCATGCGCCACCACGCCCAGCGGCTTTATTTTTTTTTTAATTGGAATGGGGTCTCACCAAGTAGCCCAGTCTGGCCTGCCAACTTGTGATCTTGTCTCAGCCTCCCCAGTAGTTGGGATACAGAGGCAGGCAACCACATCCTCCCATGGCTTTGTTGTTTTGGTTTGTTTCCCCTTTTGGGAATGGAATAATGTTAATATTCCTGGGGGCAGACACCAAGCCCAACATACTGCGTATTTGTATATCATTGTATTCGCTCTTTACTGCCATTACAGGCATGACGCCACAGCAGCATTAACACCATCCCCTTGCACTATCCTAATTTGCTTGCTCAGCCAGGAAGCCACTTGAACTTTTGTTCTCAGGTTCAATATTCTGCACAGTTTCCATGCATTTTTAAATTTTATGTTAAAGAAAAGAAGAAAAATATAAATAAGAGTTCTTTTTTTTTTTTTTTTTTTTGTCATTTTGAGACAGAGTCTGACTGTGCAGTTCAGGCTGGCCTTGAGCTCACTTTGTAGCCCAGGCTGGCCTCAAACTTGCAGTGATCCTCCTGCCTCAGCTTCCCGAGTGCTGGGATTACAGGCATGCACCACCGCACCCAGCGAGGGAAGTTTAAAAGTCGTGCCCATACTCAGTGCCCATGTTTGGTTCTCCCTCCCATGTCCATCTGTGCATGCCGTTGCCCCATTCCACTGGAAGCAGCAGCCGTGGTCTGGATAGAATAGGGCATGTCCCCTGCGTGCAGCAGCTGGTGATCAGCCATTAAGCCCTTGGGCAGAGCTGGGCCCCACAAGGCCCACAGACATGGAGGGTGCACCAGAGTGGGTGCGCCATTGTTAGACCAGCATGGAGTAGTATGCAAAGAGCTTCTCCCTTGTGTGAGTGTGCATATGGATGGCCAGGCTGCCTTTCCAACAGAAGAAATGTCCACACAGTTCCAGGAACAGGGCCACTCCCCAGAGGAGTGACAGCCAGCTGGTGACAGGTCAAGAGGGACAGGTAGCTGAAGGAGTGGCTGCAGTCCAGGCATGGGTAGAGCCTCTTGTGATTGTAAATCCCTTGGTGTCCTCTAGCTGTCGGACCTGGGGTTATGTGTCAGTGCAGCCCTGAAGCTAAGGTCAGCCTGGCCTGCAGCAACCCCTCACAGGGACATGTTCAGCTCCATGGCCTGTTAGGCTGCTATTCATTCTTCTCATCCTTCCTTTCTAAAGAGACAGAGAATGAACACTGAACTGTTTGTGTCATGATACTTGCGGCTTCTCTCAGGAAGAGGAGTTGTATGTGTGGGGAAACAGCGGTCCTCCCTGGTTCCAAGTATCCTAATACATATTTTGTTTGAGAACCGCCACTCCCATCTAAGACAGCAGTTCCCCCATTCCATGGGCAAATGTTACCACACACACACACACAAACACACACA